CCTTGCCACCGTATGATCTGCTTGGAGATTAGGATTTTTTCAGTTGAGAAAACTGCGATTCTCGCCAGCTGGGCGGATGGAGGGTTATAAGAATACAAGAAATGTGTGCCAAATCTGGTGCTTTTAAACAAAGTTGCACGACGTTCTTATCCCCAAAGAGCTGTGTGTTATCTGTCAGTTACCACTTGAGCGCTGATGTAAAAGACAATAGATTTTTTTTTCGGTTGAGAAAACTGCGCTATCTTAGTAAAACTCGCCAGCTGGGCGGATGGAGGGGTATCTCTGCGCACTTTGCCATATGGCGGGCAACAGGCCCCTGCCGCAGGGGTTAACACATTAGCATGCCGACGGTTAATTAGCCTTTTCCAGGTTAACCAGCTAACACACTATAGCCTACACAGGGTTAACAAAGACATTATTCTACGCTTGGTGAAAAAAAAGACATTAGCCTGTACAGGCCTAGGGTTAGTAGGTACTCTGTCTATCGCAAGTAACTTTTGGGAAACTTCAGCAGCGCCGTTTTAGTCCACACTTTTGGCGAGGCAAAATTTGGTAACAAACCATGCAAGTAGCATCCACTACTTTTCGTCGATCACTGACAGACAGAGGATATCCTGTTGTCATATTGAAGAAAACTGACAAAGGTACAGGTGCAAGAAAAGTCTCCATACACCTGTGAGAACTGACAAGGGTACTGGTACCAAAAATCCCACCTGTACTCTGGCCTCCGTGAGATCTATCTTGAGCGCGAGTTCCTCCCGTGTGTAGATGTCGGGGTTAGGGTTAGGTACAGATACAGGTACAGGTACAGGTACAGGTACAGATACAGGTACAGGTACAGGTACAGGTACAGATACAGTGTGTAGATGTCAGGGTTAGGGTTAGGTACAGATACAGGTACAGGTACAGGTACAGGTACAGGTACAGGTACAGGTAGTAGAAGATCTCACCTGTACTCTTGCCTCCGTGAGATCTATCTTCAGCGCGAGTTCCTCCCGTGTGTATATATCCGGGTAGTGCGTCTCCGCGAACACGCGCTCCAGCTCCTTCAGCTGTGCGGAGGTGAAGGTGGTCCGGATCCGCCGCTGTTTCCTCTTCTCGTGCAGGCCGGGAGGACCGTCATGGAACAACTTGTACTGAGCTACTGTGGAACAAACAGGAACTGTGTCAAACTAACTGTAGCAAACTTCAACTGTGTCATATTGTGTCAAATTGAGGCAAACTGTATCAAATCTACTGAACCAAACACGAACTAGCTGGGAGAAAAGCAGCAAACGAAGGCCAAAATCATTGCGGCATTCATTAGTGCAACTATGGCAGCATCACGTATGAAACTTAAGAAACTGCCAATAACACAACTGTGCAGGGCAGCAAACCACATCCAATGCTGACTAGAATATGCCGTGTTAGCGACGGAACGAAAAATAACCAACGCTAAAATCTCTAACGGATTGGATATCATGTATTTTCCCGAGTATGCAGATATTTTGCATCTAACGGTTTAGATACTGTGTATTTTTTAGATATTTATTCGCCATCACCTGTGATATAGTCGTGTCTCTCGTCTTTCAGCGCTCCGACTTTGGACGTGTTCCACAGACTGCCATACGCGTCCGCTGGAAAACAATAGACAATAGCAACTCTCACTTTCAATCATTTTACTTTCCTTTCCTGTACTGTACTGTACTGTTGTATCCAGAACTGGGCTTCATCCAGAATCATGCTCAGACATGGTTCTGGATAGTCCAGGCGCATCCAGAGCTGTGTCTGGGGCCATTCTACGTTGTTGGATACGCAAAGACTATCCAGAACCGTGCCTGATCCTAACCCCAACCCATTCAGAAATAGAACTAGACAGGCATGGTTCTGCGTACGACAGTACCTTTCTCCGGTGATGGCTTCTACACGTGTTCAACGAACATCCTGTAGAAATTTTTACGTGATAAATCTAGCACAAAATAACCACAAACAAATAAACACAAAGAACCATCGCCGAGCTGCGTTAAACACGCACCATGAAGGTACGCACAACAAACGTGCAATTAATTGAAACGACATTCAAAGCGAGACATATAAAGAAACTGTCTAACACTGTTGAAATGTTTAGAAAGGCTTGCTGTTAACATTTATGTGGTTAGCCACTAGCTGCCAAATCCAGCTGCGCGGTTGAGAAAAGAAAACATGGCGCAAGAAGCATGTGTGCCCCAAGCTGACAGTATCTAGCATCGCGTTCTAGTTCCGTAATACAGCAAATATAGTCATACAGATACACATTACATGCGTAAAAGGAATTGTCAAAAGTTGTGGTCAAAGCCTTTCCTGTGTTGTGAAACATGAAAGACGAGAAGGGGAGTCACAAAGGCAACAGTAGAATGAAGAAACCACAAGTTTAGCGGGACCGACAAAGTCTGACGGATGGAAACAGTGAAGACCCGACCGCCTATACAGGACCCATCGAAATCCGCATGCTCTAACCCTGGCATAGTTTCTAGAAACAGTCGTCTTCCTCTGGAAAATAGTTCTTGAATTTGATTTTTATTTCGTGAACAAACAAATGCTTGTCCAGATCGATATGGAAGGTAATGTAGAACGCCAGACAGAAAGAACAGATTTTTAGTAAACCGTGAGTGGTCTCTGTCAGTAGTACAGGTACACGGGACGGTTGTTAGGTCAACATGCGCCTGGCGAGCATGTCATACCTTACCTATTACTCCCAAGGACTTCTAAAGTGTTTCCATACTCCACAGGTTTAGTTCCTTTCGTAGTTTGTAACCTCATGTAGCGGCGTTTGTTCCTACAGTTTTAACCCAGGTTTAACCGTCGATATCACAGCCAAAGCCAGGACCACATAAACCGTACGGCGCACATACAGTGAAATATTTTCCGCGACATCAAATCTTAGGTTTGAGAAGAAACGGGTACAATACTCAGTAGTTCAAACATTGGACTATTTCACCCATTTCTTCTCTAACATACGACGCACGACACGATCGTTATGGAAAATCATGGTATGTGCGTTGGACCAAGGAAATAAATGTATGTGCCCAGACTTTGCGTTAAAATGCACCGCGGCTGAGCGGCGATCTGGATTAGCGCAAGTAGAATCCAACAAGATCCACCAGATTCGCCGTGAATCCTACCAGATCAGATCCACAGGATTGTGATAGCACACGTCCACGTTAGCCGACAGACAATCTAATATATGGCCAGAGTTTGTTTCCGTCTTGAGATCTTTGAAACCGGGAAGGACCCGGCTTGCCGTCTTGGCGAGAAAAGTCATGGCGGGAAAGCCGCGGCCGGAGACAGACGACATTTTGCGCCGGTCCTAAAATCCCGTTTCCTTGCTTTGTGCCGAAAATCTCCCGTCGTATGAAAGGTAAAAAATTATAGTTTGTGTACTCTGATTGAGTTACAAGAGCAAGTTAAGTTTGTTCATAACTTAATAACATTATATCCGATTTCCAACGCCTTATCTTCCCGCCAAATTTCATTACCCTGGCAACACAAACGAAATTCCCTTCATAACCGTCTGAAATTCTCGGAAAACTTCATTTCCGAGCGGGGCTAGCGGAGCGGGAGTCGGGGCGAGCGCTAGTCGGGCTTACCTGGCGTATACGGGGTAGGCTGGTGGTGCGGATCCCGCATGGACGGCAGACTGCAGTTAGCGGCGGCGGGGCCGGGCGGACAGGTGGTCGGGAAGCTGTGGTTCCGTATGGGGGAGTACTGGTATCCCTGGCTGCCCTGAAGCTGCGTGCACGAGGAGAAGTCTGGGTACGAGCTGGTGATGGAAGGGTCTATGTTACTCATACAGGAATCATACAGAGACGTGTTCAGGTACGGGTACTCCATGGCGGTAGGGAGAGAGTTTTTCCTTGTGTGTGACGCGGAGGAAAGTTGGGAGAGTTTGAGCCTGCTGCTACCCGTGCCGGCTGATATAGGGGTGTGTTCCCGCTCCAGCCGCCCTGTTGCTGACGGCGGATCGATGCGACATGAAATATGTATAATTTGTTTACTGGGAGATGATCGGTCCGTCCGCCATCTGCCCCGGGCCAGACCACTGCACGGCGGGGGACGCAGCATGCCGCAAGAACAACTTTTTTGCACGACAGTTGGAGCAGGTACAATGTAGAGAAACTTGAGCATACTAGTACGTAGAAGTAGTATCTAACAAATATCTAAAGATTCTAAGAGACTAATCTATTTTCACAGTGAGGACACTCTAGTTATGATACTTCTCTGATAATTCATAAACAACCTGTTCATATACAACTTTATGCTGCGTCTGGAAGGCATGACATTGTCTGGGTTGTGTTCTCTGGCTGATTCACCCCATTTTTCTTTCTTTTGTCAGCAGGCAAAAGGAGCTGATAGAATCTAGTTTTGTTTTACTGATGACGGTGTGTTTTCTGAGCCAAGTCTGTTACAAGCCACCAGCCGTAGGTAGACAGAACCTGTGATGCTACATGTAACGTTATACCTGTAAACTTGCATCTGGCTCTATTGAATCCCTGATACTTTGTGTAGCAAGTACAGATGTCCTGTTTTCTTATGGATTTTACAGTTCAGCATGATAGTTTTTAGGTCGAAAACTACCAGATTGCCCCTGAGTATAATCTCCAAGCAGATCCCTTCTGGTGTCCGTACAAACTCCTCTGGCTAATGGATACTGCCTTGCCACCGAAAAGGATCTGCTTGGAGATTACCTACGTAGCCTAAAGTGGCCTGGCATGTGCCATGTAGCCGCCACGTGCCAACATGTGGCTTTGGTGTGTCCTGGAGTGCCCGGCTAGCCCTGTGTGGCCCAGTATGGCCCTGTGCCTGCCGCGTGCCGTGTGTGTAATGTACTATGTATAATGTCCCACCGCCACGTGTCACACAGTGGCTCGGTGTCCTGGTATGGCGCTGTGCGGTGTTCCTGGCGTGCCCAAAGTGTATAATATCCCCCCGCCATGGCCTGGCGTGTGCCATGTATCCGCCACGTGCCGCCGATTACCACAGAACGAAGGGGCGGATCTCCGCGAGCTGGTGACAATCACATCATGTAATCCCCCCACCCCCTCGGGACGTCCCACCCCCTCGGGACGCCCCCCCCCTCGGGACGCCACCTTGCCCCCGGGGCGGCCCGACAGACGGCCGGCCGTGTTTTAGCGTGATGAGGC